AGGCATTTGGCCTGCCGTGAAGCTCTCGACTACGCTCTTTTGCTTGTGGGCACCGCCTTGTGTTCTCCCGGCGGGGAGGCGGGGCGCCCTGCTCGGCTTCTTTGAGAAGATGGGCAAGTGGTCAAACGTCGATTCGTTGATGATCTTCATTCTGATGGCGGCGATGCAGATGGACTTCACGTTACCGCCCGCTCCCGAACCGGGCGCGCTCCCGTTGGCGACCGTCTCGGTCGAGGTTATGCCGACAGAGGGCATCACCTATTTCTTCCTCGCTGTCCTCGCCTCCCTGCTCCTCACCGCCCTCGTCTTCCACATGCACAAGACAGTGTGCCTGCCGCCGCAACACCCGTGCGCGCGCCCGCCTCGCGAGGCGACGAGGGCGGGCCAGGGGAAGAGGAAGGCCGCCGTACGGCCTGGCACCGAGGCTGCTGCGCCACCAATCCCAAGCGTCGCGCTCCGCCATCGCTCCGGCGAACGCTTTGGCATCGTGGTGAGCCTGTCACTGATCTTTGCCTTTTGCGCAACGCTCGGCGCCTGCTTCCTCCCCGTATTCCGCCTCTCCAAGGGGGGGCTTCTCGGCGTGGCACTCGGCGGGGAGAGCTCCGACGAGTACTCTGTGATCGAGAGTGGCGTCCAGCTCCGCCACGCCTCGCCATCATCGCCCGACTGGCTGATGGAAGGGTGCCGCCCCGTCTCTCCTCTCGTCTCTTTGGCCTGGCTGAGCCGCCCCGAGCTTCCCTCCAGGTACCGCGTCATCTACTTCCTCGTTATCATGGTCGCCCCCCTTGCCTGGTACTTTGGCTGCCTGCTCGCCTGGTTCGTGCCGCTTTCGCCGTCGTCGCGCCACGCCGCTGGCTTTATGCTCAATGTGCCGCCCCTCCCGCAGCTCCGTCCGCATATACCGCCTGGGCCCTCTCGGCGGCCTCTGAGGCGGCCGGTCAAACTAGGTGTGCTCCTCCCTCGGTGCACTCGAGGTCTACGTGGTTTGCATGATCCTCTCAATCGTGCAGGTGCGGGTTCCTGCAAGCTCCCTCGTCGAACCCCTCCCATCACCCCTTCCGCCCACTAAGCGTGGACCCCCCCCCCCCCCCTCGTCCCAGCTCGACGCCATTGCGCAGCAGATCGTGGGGGAAATCTCGCACGGCCTCTGCGACACTGTTGGCGCCGTCGCCGAGGCGCCATTCGAGCGGCCCGAGCCGCCGACCACATGCCGTCGGACCGCGTTTCCAATCATTCAGCCTGTTGAGTAGGCGCATTTTGCTGAGCTGGTCGATCCGCCCACATGCCTCACCCTCTCCGCCGGCATCAGACCCCCCTACTTTCTTCTCACTCTTGCCACCCTCGTCGGTATTCCGGCTGGCTTGGCCGTCGCTTCGAGATTGGATGAGTCGGCGCTCGAGATGCCGCCGCTGGCGTGGGGCACATTTGACGACAGCAGCGCCGAGGATAAGGCCGCCACGCGGAAGTCATCCGCAAGCGAGACACGCGACGGCTCGCGCACGGGAGGCGCGCATCAGCCTTCGACCAATATTGTGTAGCGGACGAGTGGAGCAGCGCAGCGAGGGCACTAGAGTGACGGCTCGCTGCCGCTGAAGTCGCCCATCCTGACGCTGACCGTGGGTTACGGCATGTCTCTGGTGTATTTTGTCTGTGTGTCGTGCATGCAGCATGGCGCCATATGGGTCTACGAGTCACACGCGTACACACGAGTCATATAGAGTGTGTGCATGTTTGTACGCGAGTGTGTGGGCTGTGGCGAGTCACCGTTGCATGTGCATGTGCGGGGGGGCACTCTCGGGCTTTGTCTTGGAAAAAGAAAACTAGAACGAGACGGTCAAAGCAACAAGGCTACGCTTCGCCTTCGGCTACAGAAGGGACCCTGCGGTCTACTGAGACGCATACCGTGACGTAGAAATGTGCCTGTGTTGCGGCTCCACACACGCTACAACTCATTCACCTGCTCGGCGTCCACGAGAGCCCGCCTCTCGCCCTTTTTGTGCTCGGCTGGTGCAGGCAAGATGTCGGATGGGGCAAGCGTGGCCAACGAGCGCACTGCCTGAATGACGTCCTGGAACGTGAGGTCGTGCAGGGCCTGTTCGCTCGCATCGTGCCGCGCTACCGCCGGCCCCACCTGCTGCTGGATGAGCGCGAGCCCATGAACTGCTGACAGGGTTTGCGATGAGGAGCGATCCGAACGTGGTATTCGGGTGATTAGATCACTACCGCCGAAGCGCAAGCGCTTGGAGCAAGGGAACTGCCACGTATGGGTCCCAGACTACTCGAGTAGCACCCCACCTCGCGATTATTAGCAAGTCAGGACACAGAGCTCACACAAATTCACAGTGTTATGGGTTGTGCTTGTGGTCACAGGTGCGGATCGCGGGTGGAGCGCGTGAGGGAGCTTGGATCACTGGTAAGCTCCCTCGCGCGACTTGGAGCACTTGGAGTGCAGTTAGTTGCCGCACGCACGCGAAATATTTTTCGCCCTTCCAAGTTGGCCAGGCGCCGCCGTATCGCACAGGCCGTGCCTACGAGCAAACGGCCCCCGATGGCGCTCTCCCAGCGGGACTCGGCCAAGCTGGAGCGCGCGGCGCAGTCCAGGGCTGCGGCGGAGGAGCGGGAGGTGGAGCGTCGGCTCAAGGCCGCGCTCCGCACGCCAGTCGACGAGCGCACCGCCGCCGACCTCGCGCTGCTGGAGGCGCGGCCAGAGGAGGCGCGCCGGCTGCAGGCAGCGCAGGAGCGGACTGCAGCGCGCAAGGCGGCCGAGGCGGCGAGCATGGTGGAAACGGAGGACGACGCCGAAGTCCTCCGCGGCAAGATCGACGCGCTGAGCGAGATGCTGGCTGGAGCGCGTCACGTGGTTGTGTACACCGGCGCTGGGATATCGACAGCCGCCAACATCCCCGACTACCGCGGGCCGCAGGGGATATGGACGCAGCAGAAAAAGGCGCCCGCGGGCAAGGCCGGCTCCCTCTCCAGCGGCTCTCGCGCCGGCGGCGTCGACAAGCTCGGCGTCACGCCAACCGAGGGCCACATGGCGCTCGCTGCCCTCGTGCGCGCCGGTGCGACTCGAAGCCCTCACTCAGTCCCCGCCTTACTCCCACGGCGCCGACGGCCTGCGCAGCAACTTCGCCGCACGTGGCGCCCAACGTTGCCACACGCACCGCTCTTCAAGCTGCCGTTTCATGACCGCGCTATCAGGCCGCGTCGCCGCTGTCGTCTCTCAAAACATCGACGGCCTGCACATGCGCTCGGGGGTGCAGCAGTAGTATAACGTCACTGTAGCAGTGCCGCCTGGCGACAGCTGTAGTCCTGGACTCCTGCAGCCAGCGTCAACTCACATGCCTCGCTTCACGGTGCAACTCACGGTAGTAGGAGTAGCGCGAGCAGCAGCAGCTCCTGCTACGGCAGACCTTCGCGCGCTGTGTGGACAGGTGCCGCCGTCGGCGCTGACGGAGTTGCACGGCAACGTCTTTCGCGAGCGATGCCGCGCCTGTGGCCGCGAGTTTCTGCGTGGTTTCGACGTGACAGAGGCGTCTTCATACCGGCGGCACACCACGATGCGCAAATGTGACGACAGCAGCTGCCGCGCGCCACTGCACGACACAATCGTCTACTTTGGGGAGAAGATCGACGAGGCGCGACGCGCGTACCCGCACATTCGGCGAGCTGCGAGGGTGGGCGTACCTCCTCACCTTTCCCCCGCCTGTCACCGCCAGACGCAGCTCGAGTCGGCGCAAGAGGCCGCGGGTCGCGCCGACGTGTCGCTCTTCGTTGGTTCTTCGCTCAAGGTGCCGCAGCGCGGCAAGAGTCGCACTTGGCGGCAGAGTGCGGACTCCGCTTGGACATGCCCTGCAGGTGCTGCAGCACTACAAGTACATCTGGCAGCAGCCGGGGCGCGGGCGCAAGCGTTTCGCAATCATCAACTTGCAGCCGACTCCGAAGGATCGCGCCGCTGCGCGTCTCCGGGAGGCCGAGAGGAGAGGGAAGCAAGCAAGGAAACGCGATCGTTAGGACCGCGTCGCGGAGCTCGTCGTGCGCGGCCGCGCAGACTACGTGCCCGCTTCCCTCCACGCCGTCCCTTCCCTGCTTCACAGCAGACTTGGACGCGCTCCCTTGCGCGCCCATAGGTGCTGACCCAGCTGGCTGCGCGGCTCGGCGTCGGCATCTCGCCGCCACGGGGTTCGCCGGCGCAGAGGGGCCCTCCCGAACGTCTCTGGACTTCTGCCGTAGGCGTTCCTCCGTACGACGCAACCGCTGATGCCGTGCTCCGCCTCGCGCGCAGAGTGCGTCAACCGAGCCGTTCGGCTTCGGCCGCGTCTCGAAGGCCACCAAGCAAAGCGGCGGCGGCGCCAAGCAAAGCAGCGGCGACGGTGGCGCCAAGCAAAGCGGCGGCGACGATTGCGGCGGCGGCGGCGGTGGCGGTAGCTGAGCCCGCCGCGGTTGCGGTAGAGGATGCGGCGGCCGCCGAGGGCGGCGGTGCAGGTGGGTCAAGTCTTGCGGTGTACTGCTGCCGCTGCGGCGCTGTGCTTGATGACGAGGCGTTTTCTCCTTCATGCTGCTTCTCACCCCATGTCCCCCCCCCCCTTACGTATCGTTCCCCGCTCTCCCCTCCCCGCAGGAGGGCGTGACCGTTCGGCGCGACTCGACGTGCGGTTTGCGATTCACCGAGATTGATCGAGATGACACGAGGATCCGTCGCAGGCGCGCCGTCGGCGAGTGCGACGTCGCTGGCTGCGAGCATTGGGCGTGCTTGCGGTGCGCGGGAGTCAAGGCCGGGTACAGCGGCGAGTGGGCGTGTGGTTGCGCTCAATGCGGCACGGGTCTGGGCTCTGCAGCACGCCCTCACACGGCGGGTGGTTTGGTTGCGGCGGGAGAGGCGGGTGCAAGGGGGAGTGCAGAGGCGGATTCTGGAGAGGCCAAGGGCCTGGTGGCAGGGAGGGGGGCGGTGGTGATGCGCGATGGCGAGGACCACCGCCGAGGCGCGGAATCGGGCAAAATGGACGCGAGCGGCGAGATGGGGGGAGGCGACAAGGGGGCCATGGCGGAGGCCATGGCGGAGGAGGCACTGCCTCCGAAGAAGAAGATGCGGATGAAGGTGTTGGATGAGGCGACTCCTCACCCACTCGACAGACAGAGAGAGGGAGAGTCGGCCTCGTTCCCTCACGGAGCCCTCCCGCGCCGTAGGCGGGTCCTGTCCCTCGCCGCCCCCCACCGCCGCCGGCGACGACCGCCGCCACCGCCGCCATTCTGCACGCCCCACCGGCGTCGCCGCACCGGTCGCCGCGGCTGCCCGCGTCGCCCGCGGCAGCCTCCCCGTCGCTCCTCAGCGAGCCGCCGCCGCCCGATCGGCCCTCACAGTTCGCGCTGGAAGACGTAGCGCCCGCACAGGCCGTGCCTTTCCACCCGTCCGACGCCCCCGCGCTGGCCATTTCTGCCACAGCGCCCGCAGTTCCTCCCGTCGCTGCCGATCCTGCCGCCGCCCCCCGATCGACAAAGAAGTGCCTCGGCAAGTGCGGATTCTTTGGATCGCCGGCGTTCGACGGGCTCTGCTCCAAATGCCACGCCAAGCGGCTACATGACATGGCGCAGGGGTGGAGCGGCCCACGTGGGCGGGTTTGATTGAGCGACAAATTACTGACCTCGAGCCAGAGAAAAAGTGAGACTCGGTGTGTCCTCGCAAAAATGAGCTTTTTGAAAAAAATTTTTACTCGCAATCCCACACACACCAGTTCTCAAAGTCCCCGCGGCCGCGCGGTGCCAAAATAAATAAATAAACAAAGTGCAGTAGAAATAAAACGGTCAAACTCTGAGACGAGATGGGATTTAGGGACATGTGCCAGTTTCGGGCGGGGCAAACCCTTTTCGCTTTTGCCCCCGGCCCCTAATTGTGAGCAGCGGCCCAGCCAGTCGTATCGAAGTCTAAGAGATGAGTACTCTATTATAAAACGTAAGAGTACAGGCCCCCAGCCCCCAAGTGAACGTGTGGCCTAGGGCATCAGAAGGGACCAAGCGAGTCTGAGCCATGGAGCGCATGTCATCCCCCCCGATGGTCGCGTTCAAATGCCCGGAACACCCGTGACGAAAAAAAAACACACACCAAGCGCTAAGCGTGAGGACACGATTTCGAATTCGTAGGAGCATCTGAGCAAAATTGAGTCCGCTCAGGTGTGAACAAAAGATATAAGGGTCGACCAGGTTTCGAACTGGGGACCTCCCGCCAGCGGGAAGGCTTCCAGCAAGATACGCTTGGATTGAAAGGAGGTCTCAGCTCGGGAAACCTATATAGCATACCGGAGGAATTAGACACCACAGATACGCACACACCGACGCCCGAAGTGCCAAGAAGGACGTCATCAGTACGAAACCTCAGAAGGCCATGGGCGCCGAGAGAACATTCCCCCGAGAGGACAAAAGAAAAGGCTTCGCACCCCCTCCTTGCGCAGTGACCCTCGCTAAGTGTCGCCGTTATCGGGGCACGCTATCCTGCGCAGGCAGGGCAAGCGGGGGCGGGGGGCACTCCCCCTGGTCTGATACTGGGGTGTGACTGTCTCCAGTCTCGGAGGGGAGCAAAAAGATAAGAATATCTAAAAAATTCAAATGCCCGGAACGGCCGTCTCAGTGGCGGGTGCAGCCCCGGCCGGCCCGGCGCCGGCGCGCTCTCGCAGCAGCCTTCTCGCCGTCTTCCCCGCACTCGCACGAGGCATGGCTGGCCCCTCGATAGGCGCCGCTGGTGCAAGCGACCTATGCCAAAGCAAGTGACGAGGCGGAGATGTACATTGTGCCTGTGATCGTGGTTCCTCGCAAGACAGCAGCATGATTCGGTTCGCGCTTCCTCCCCCCTCCCCCCTCCCTCCCGCGGCCCCTCCTCGATCCACCTTCTCGCCCGTCCCCCGCCTCGCGCCGACTGTGCTCCTCAAGCCCTCCCGCGCCGCACGGTGGCCTCAGGTGAGGCGAGCCGCGACCCGAGCTCAACTCGCGCGCCACGTGGATCATATACCTCGGGGCCGAGCCGTACGCGCGCATATACCTCGGGGCCGAGCCGTACGCGCGTGCATTGATGCGAGGTCCGTTGGCTTTGGCTCTCTATCTACTCTCGGGCGGCGGGCTGCGGCCGGCGGTGTTCTCGCACTTGTGTCGAGTGGCGTTGTGTTGTTGCGGCCATCGGCCTTGTTGCCCACGACTCGCGCTCTCTCTCTGGATGCGCTGTCTCTGGATGCGCTGTACTATGTCGGTCCTTGATACTACGCTCTGCTGATGTGTGTGATGATGTGTTGTGTCGTGCTGTGTGTGTGAGAGAGAGAGAGAGAGGTGCCTCGTTCGTGATTCTTGTTTTTGGCTTCGAGTTTACTTTGGCTTCGAGTTTTTCTTGAGACGAATCTGCTGCATACAAGACGCGGCGGGCGCTTTTTTATTGCTGCGCGCCCCGCCGGCCGCGTGGGGCAAGGTGCCTGGCGCTTTGTCTCGCACCTCTTGGGGCAGATGGGGAAACCAACGACCGACCCACACACACACAAATGCGTGTGCTGCTTGGCTAACCGAGGGTACTTCAGCGACCCGGCTGTCAAAGCCAAAAAGTCGAAGAACGGCCATACGTTCAATGCAACCATCATCCGAGACGGCCCGCGTCAGGGCGAGAAGGAGTGCGATCAGCTGGTGAAGCGAGCCGCGCCTAAGGGAAGGGCAGCAGCAGCCTCCGCGGGCGGAGGAGGCTCCTCGCGGCAGCCGGCCGCTGCGACGCTGTCGGCGGGACTCGGAGGCATGCGGCTGGGCGCGAGTGATGGCACTGCTGCCAGCAGCGGCGCGCCCGCCGCGGCGGCGGCGGTGGCGGCGGAGGACGAGGACGGCTCCATCCGACACCTCTTCGGCGAGGACGGCTCCAGCGAGGACGGCTCCGGCTCCGACGGCTTTAACTTTGAGCTCAATCGGCCGTCGCAGGCCCGCCGTCCTCGCCACAGATTCGGCGAGGCGGAGAGGTCGAAGGCGAGAATGGACGCCATAAACGCTGCACCAGCAGCGGAGCCGCCCGCTGCCGCCGCCGCCGGCGGTGGGGGTGCAGGCGGCAGCGGTGATGGTTTTCTCGGGCAGCTGTTGGCGAGTGCGCGCGCGCCCAAGGAGGTGCGAGCGGCGGAGGTCGTTGCGATCGCGGAGGAAGTGGAGCGGCAGATGGACAACGGTGCGCACGCGCTCCCCAGTCGCTCACACGCGCGGCGCGCGCACACACACACACGCGCACACGCACACACACACGCACACGCACACACACACACACACACACGCACACACACACACCGCACCGGGCCTTGCACTTTTAATATGCCTCCCTCCACCTCAGCTCCCCCCCCCCCCCCTCCAGGGGCTCGTCTCAATCCGCAGCTCGCGAGTTATTTCGGCGCGGCTAAGAAGCAGCAGCGGCCGAGCAGCATGTCCACGACACATGACATGTCCATGTCCACGACACGGTCCCATAGGTGTCCCCGGCTTTGGCCAAGACCAAGCGGCGGCGGCCACGTGCGGCGACGAGGCGGCGAGCCAGCTGGTCGACGCGACGGGCACGGCGCCTGTCAGCATCTATGTGGAGTTCGCTGGGGAGGGTAGCGCGTCGATCGCACACGGGGCGGACGCAGTG